ATGCTGGAGATGTGTGAGAAATATGAGGATATTGACCCAATGCAGCAAGTGAGTCACCCCACCAGACCAGTGACTCACCCCACCAGACCAGTGACTCACCCCACCAGACCAGTGAGTCACCCCACCAGACAAGTGACTCACCCCACCAGACAAGTGACTCACCCCACCAGACAAGTGAGTCACCCCACCAGACAAGTAAGTCACCCCACCAGACAAGTGAGTCACCCCACCAGACAAGTGAGTCACCCCACCAGACAAGTGAGTCACCCCACCAGACAAGTGAGTCAACCCACCAGACCAGTGAGTCAACCCACCAGACAAGTGAGTCACCCCACCAGACAAGTGAGTCACCCCACCAGACAAGTGAGTCACTCCACCAGACAAGTGAGTCATCCCACCAGACAAGTGAGTCACCCCACCAGACAAGTGAGTCACCCCACCAGACAAGTGAGTCATCCCACCAGACAAGTGAGTCACCCCACCAGACAAGTGAGTCAACCCACCAGACCAGTGAGTCAACCCACCAGACAAGTGAGTCACCCCACCAGACAAGTGAGTCACCCCACCAGACAAGTGAGTCACTCCACCAGACAAGTGAGTCACCCCACCAGACCAGTGAGTCACCCCACCAGACAAGTGAGTCACCCCACCAGACAAGTGAGTCAGCCCACCAGACAAGTGAGTCACCCCACCAGACCAGTGAGTCACCCCACCAGACAAGTGAGTCACCCCACCAGACAAGTGAGTCACCCCACCAGACAAGTAAGTCACCCCACCAGACAAGTGAGTCACCCCACCAGACAAGTGAGTCAGCCCACCAGACCAGTGAGTCACCCCACCAGACAAGTGAGTATCACCCACCAGACCAAGTGAGTCACCCCACCAGACAAGTGACTCACCCCACCAGACAAGTGAGTCACCCCACCAGACAAGTGACTCACCCCACCAGACAAGTGAGTCACCCTACCAGACAAGTGAGTCACCCCACCAGACAAGTGAGTCACCCCACCAGACAAGTGACTCACCCCACCAGACAAGTGACTCACCCCACCAGACAAGTGAGTCACCCCACCAGACAAGTAAGTCACCCCACCAGACAAGTGAGTCAACCCACCAGACAAGTGAGTCACCCCACCAGACAAGTGAGTCACCCCACCAGACAAGTGAGTCACCCCACCAGACAAGTAAGTCACCCCACCAGACAAGTGAGTCACCCCACCAGACAAGTGAGTCACCCCACCAGACAAGTGAGTCACCCCACAGACAAGTGAGTCATCCCCCAGACAAGTGAGTCACCCCACCAGACAAGTGAGTCAACCCACCAGACCAGTGAGTCAACCCACCAGACAAGTGAGTCACCCCACCAGACAAGTGAGTCACCCCACCAGACAAGTGAGTCACTCCACCAGCAAGTGAGTCACCACCACCAGACCAGTGAGTCACCCCACCAGACAAGTGAGTCACCCCACCAGACAAGTGAGTCAGCCCACCAGACAAGTGAGTCACCCCACCAGACCAGTGAGTCACCCCACCAGACAAGTGAGTCACCCCACCAGACAAGTGAGTCACCCCACCAGACAAGTAAGTCACCCCACCAGACAAGTGAGTCACCCCACCAGACAAGTGAGTCAGCCCACCAGACCAGTGAGTCACCCCACCAGACAAGTGAGTCACCCCACCAGACAAGTGAGTCACCCCACCAGACAAGTGACTCACCCCACCAGACAAGTGAGTCACCCCACCAGACAAGTGACTCACCCCACCAGACAGTGAGTCACCCTACCAGACAAGTGGAGTCACCCACCAGACAAGTGAGTCACCCCACCAGACAAGTGACTCACCCCACCAGACAAGTGACTCACCCCACCAGACAAGTGAGTCACCCCACCAGACAAGTAAGTCACCCCACCAGATAAGTGAGTCAACCCACCAGACAAGTGAGTCACCCCACCAGACAAGTGAGTCACCCCACCAGACAAGTGAGTCACCCCACCAGACAAGTAAGTCACCCCACCAGACAAGTGAGTCATCCCACCAGACAAGTAAGTCACCCCACCAGACAAGTGAGTCATCCCACCAGACCAGTGAGTCACCCCACCAGACAAATGACTCACTCCACCAGACAAGTGAGTCACCCCACCAGACAAATGACTCACTCCACCAGACAAGTGAGTCACCCCACCAGACAAATGACTCACTCCACCAGACAAGTGAGTCACTTCACCAGACAAGTGAGTCACCTCAGCAGACAAGTAAGTCACCCCACCAGACAAGTGAGTCATCCCACCAGACCACTGAGTCACCCCACCAGACAAGTGAGTCACCCCACCAGACAAGTAAGTCACCCCACCAGACAAGTGAGTCACCCCACCAGACAAGTGAGTCATCCCACCAGACAAGTGAGTCACCCCACCAGACAAGTGAGTCACCTCACCAGACAAGTAAGTTACCCCACCAGACAAGTGAGTCACCCCACCAGACAAGTGAGTCATCCCACCAGACAAGTGAGTCACCCCACCAGACAAGTGAGTCACCTCTCCAGACAAGTAAGTCACCCCACCAGACAAGTGAGTCATCCCACCAGACAAGTGAGTCATCCCACCAGACAAGTGAGTCACCCCACCAGACAAGTGAGTCACCTCACCAGACAAGTAAGTCACCCCACCAGACAAGTGAGTCACCCCACCAGACAAATGACTCACTCCACCAGACAAGTGAGTCACCCCACCAGACAAGTGACTCACCCCACCAGACAAATGACTCACTCCACCAGACAAGTGAGTCACCCCGCCAGACAAATGACTCACTCCACCAGACAAGTGAGTCACCCCACCAGACAAGTGAATCACCCCACCAGACAAGTGAGTCACCCCACCAGACAAGTGAGTCACCTCACCAGACAAGTAAGTCACCCCACCAGACAAATGACTCACTCCACCAGACAAGTGAGTCACCCCACCAGACAAATGACTCATTCCACCAGACAAGTGAGTCACCCCACCAGACAAATGACTCACTCCACCAGACAAGTGAGTCACCCCACCAGACAAATGACTCACTCCACCAGACAAGTGAGTCACCCCACCAGACAAATGACTCATTCCACCAGACAAGTGAGTCACCCCACCAGACAAATGACTCATTCCACCAGACAAATGACTCACTCCACCAGACAAGTGAGTCACTCCACCAGACAAATGACTCACTCCACCAGACAAGTGAGTCACTCCACCAGACAAGTGAGTCACCCCACCAGACAAGTGAGTCACCCCACCAGACAAGTGAGTCACCCCACCAGACAAGTGAGTCACCCCACCAGACAAATGACTCACTCCACCAGACAAGTGAGTCACCCCACCAGACATACAGAAGACACATCATACACAGTTAAAACAAACATATCTTTATAATATACGTTACCTATATACAAATTACAGTCTGACTCTCCCATGTTTCATAAAACATATGGAGAGAGTGTAGCTGGTGGAAGTGCTTGTTCAAACACTTTGTTAACTAAGAAACAACTCGGTGTTACAAATCTAAGGGAAGATACTATTACAACATTGTTGTGACCACCAGACCTTGATGGCTGGCAGAGTGATCAGCTGTATAAAACCTTGATAGTATGGTTAGGCAATCATCATAGATACAGGAACCTTCTATACATGAACAATGGGTCGTTGTTTCTGGTCCTTGGTTCACCACAGTAATATTGGATGCTCTTCACAAGTAATCTCCAGCAGAATCTTCAGCATAATCTCCATGCATAATCTACTGCTACCTCGCAGCCGGTGGGTAACAGACGTACCACTGCTGGTAGGTCATAGACGTACCACACCTGGTGGGTCACAGACGTACCACTACTGCTGGTAGGTCACAGACGTACCACACCTGGTGGGTCACAGACGTACCACTACTGCTGGTAGGTCACAGACGTACCACAGCTGGTGGGTCACAGACGTACCATAGCTGGTGGGTCAAAGACGTACCACTGCTGGTGGGTCACAGACGTACCACTGCTGGCCATTAAGATCCTAACTCTGAGCATCGGTCACTGACCACCAATAGCTAGGAAATAGTCCACTGGAAGAATATTGTGTCCCCCTTCCCTAAAAGGTCAATTTAAACAAAATATAATTGTGACATTCACATAATTATTATTATTATAATCAAAGGGGAAGCGCTAAACCCGGAGGATTATACAGCGCCTGGGGGGGGGGGGGCATGTGGAAGGCATTCAGGCTTAATTCGGGGAACTGGAGCACAGATCCAATTCCCTAAATCAAGAGCCCCTCACCAACATCAAGGAACCTTCCTTGAGGGGACATTCACATAAGAGAACACATATGACATGTATTTTCTAAATATATTGTCACATGATTTTCCCTGGTGTTAGTAGCAGTGGCGGAGGTGTTGGTGATGGTGGTAACAGCAGTAGTAGTACTACAGACTGGTGGTGGTAGTAGCAGCAGTAGTACAGACTGTCTGTAGTAGTAGTATTAGTCGTCCTAATAATCATAATAATAATAATAATAATAATAATAATAATAATAATAATAATAATAATAATAATAATGGTAGTAATAATAGTAGTAGGAACATCAGAATTAAAGTCGTAGAATGACATATATCAGTCCTCATATTTTCCTCAAAAGGTCAAATTTCTAGGTGTGCTTACACCCACTTAGTCAGGTTAAAAGCACCGGAGTGAGGTCAGTGGTCATGTGGAGTGCACAACCACCCACTGACCTCTGTCACCCTCCCTCGCACGGACGTCACTTACCACAATGAATATTTCATGAACGATACAAGGTCGACGGTACCCTTCCCTACCCTCCCTGTCTCCTTCCCTCTGAATACCCACTGATAGAAAGTCGATTTCTCTGTTAGGAGTAAGTGAAAAGAGTCGTATTAATACGTGTGCAGGCACCCTATGTTAGCTTTCCCGAGTATATATAGGAGAGTCGGGGCCTTGACCCCACACAGTTCTTGACGGTCATATTACACACGTAGAGTACATCGCTCACCTCACCCATCACGCACGTCGCTCTCTCATCACGTACGTAGAGCATATCTACTTGTTCAAATATTTAAAATATACAAGCTTGCCTTAAAGACTTGGGAGTGTTTTTCGAACATTACTGTGCTGAGATCCTGTTTCATGTAGACCAGGACACAAACATGAGATCAGGTAGGTAGAGCCTCCCTCGCCAGCAGCAGACGGAGGATCAATCTTCCACTGCCCCTGGAACTAAACATCATATCATAAAAAAAAGTGACATTCGGTACAGAGTACATTCTCTTCTCTCTCTTATTACTTCCCCTCAAGAGAGCTTCCTTGAAGAAGGCGAGAGGACTCCTGATTAAAGGAAGAGGACATGCCCTCCCATTCCTTGGATCAAACCTGAATGCCTCCCATTCCTCCCCCTCCCCCCAAAATTCTGTATGATACTATTATTATAATAATAATAATAATAATAATAATAATAATGTATGATACTGACAAGTACAGTTAAGCAGTGCGTATGTCTCGCGGTTAGCGGAGGGAGGATCGAGCCTCCACTTCTGGCAATGACTGACCCCACATGGCTCTAGCTCGTTATATCAAGTACTGAAGCCTAACAAATGCTTCCCTATGACTGTAACAATCGGATATTACGGCTCTTTAATACTTGTATAATCTGAAAAAGTTCACAAATGATGAATTGTCGCTGGTTTTGAAGTGTAAACTAAGCGATGTAAACCAAGTGATGTCAACCAGGCGATGTAAACCAGCCGGTTTAAATTTGATGATTGAGACACTTATGTAACATATGAGAATCTTTATTGAAGAAACGTTTCGTCACACAGTGGCTTCATCAGTCTAATACAAAATAGAAATGGGTAAGGAGAGGTAATCAGTCCCTCAGCCTGGAATCGATGTGTTCAGTCCATCACTCTTGTAGAAAGTACAGCATATGGCTGGAGAAGTGGTTTATATACCGTAGATAGATGAGTGGAAGCAGGAGGAGGCGGGATCACAGTAGAATCATCCACTAGAGTAAGTAGATCTTCGTCCAAAGGTTGGACAAGAATTGAGGAATGCCTTGTATGAAGATCACATGAAACTCTAAACTTACCATTTAGAGTTTCTCACGCTGCATTAAAGAGCCTCATTAGTTCCTGGAGGTTACCTGGAGGTTATTCCGGGGATCAACGCCCCCGCGGCCCGGTCCATGACCAGGCCTCCCGATGGATCAGGGCCTGATCAACTAGGCTGTTACTGCTGGCCGCACGCAGTCCAACGTACGAGCCACAGCCCGGCTGATCCGGCACCGACTTTAGGTATCTGTCCAGCTCTCTCTTGAAGGCAGCCAGGGGTTTATTGGCAATTCCCCTAATGCTTGATGGGAGGCTGTTGAACAGTTTTGGACCCCGGACACTTATGGTGTTTTCCCTTAGTGTACCAATGGCGCCCCTACTTTTTATTGGGGGCATTTTGCATCGCCTACCCAGTCTTTTACTTTCGTAGGGAGTGATTTCTGTGTGCAGATTTGGGACCATTCCTTCCAAGATTTTCCAAGTGTAGATTATGATATATCTCTCCCTCCTGCGTTCCAACGAGTACAAGTCAAGTGCTTCCAAGCGTTCCCAGTAGTTAAGGTGCTTGACAGAACTTATACGTGCAGTAAAGGATCTCTGCACACTCTCTAGATCTGCGATTTCACCTGCTTTGAATGGAGATGTTAATGTACAGCAGTACTCCAGCCTAGAGAGAACAAGTGATTTGAAAAGGATCATCATGGGCTTGGCATCTCTCGTTTTGAAAGTTCTCATTATCCATCCTATCATTTTCTTTGCACGTGCGATCGTGGCACTGTTGTGATCCTTGAAAGTGAGATCCTCAGACATTACTACTCCCAGGTTCCTTACATTATTTTTCCGCTCTATTGTATGGCCGGAGTCAGTAGCATACTCTGTTCTAGTTATTATCTCCTCCAGTTTTCCATAACGGAGTAGTTGGAATTTGTCCTCATTGAACATCATATTGTTTACCGTTGCCCACTGGAAAACTTGTTTATATCTTCTTGGAGGTTAACCGCGTCCTCAGCAGATGACAGCCTCATGCAGATCCTAGTATCATCCGCAAAGGATGATACGGTGCTGTGGTGTATATCTCTGTTTATGTCTGATATGAGGATAAGGAATAAGATGGGGGAGAGTACTATGCCTTGTGGAACAGAGCTCTTCACTATGGCAGCCTCCGATTTAACTCTGTTGACCACTACTCTTTGTGTTCAATTTGTTAGGAAGTTGAAGATCCATCTCCCCACTTTCCCAGTTATTCCTTTAGCACGTATTTTATGGGCTATTACGCCATGATCGCATTTGTCAAATGCTTTTGCAAAGTCTGTGTATATTACATCTGCATTCTGATTTTCTTCCAGTGCATCCAAGGCCATGTCATAGTGATCCAGTAGTTGTGAGAGGCAGGAGCGACTGCCCTGAACCCATGTTGCCCCGGATTGTGCAGATTTTTGGGAATCCAGGTGATTTGCAATCCTGCTTCTTAGCACTCTTTCAAAGATTTTTGTTTATGTGGGACGTCAGAGCTATTGGTCTATAGTTCTTAGCTAATGCTTTGCTGCCACCTTTATGGAGTGGGCTATATCCGTTGTTTTAAGTGACTGTGGAATTTCACCCATGTCCAAGCTCCTCCTCCATAGTGTACTTAGGGCACGCGAGAGGGGTTTCTTGCAGTTCTTAATGAAAACAGAGTTCCACGAGTCTGGGCCCGGGGCTGAGTGCATAGGCATGTTGTCAATGGCTTTTTCGAAATCTATCGGAGTTAGGGTAATGTCGGAAATCTGGCATACATTTATGGAGTTTTGAGGCTCATTCATGAAGAAATTATTTGGGTCGTCGATCCTCAGACCGATTAGTGGTTCACTAAACACAGAGTCTGTGAATATTGACAGACTCTTCATGATATAATATTTATTGTCTGCCCTGCCAATTTCGCAATCGTAAAAGTGACCTGTAGTCGCTGGCGGAGGTCACCGACTCTGGGGCAGAGCCTCAAGAGATTTGACCTCCAGCGGATGAAGATATATACACTGAAGACATGTCAAGTGACGAAGTTGGAGGCAGCATCACATGTGGGGAGAGCCCGCTAGTAGAAGTCATGCCAATAGGTTTGGCAAACGTTAGAATTAAGGTACAATCATCTCTACCAAGATTTCAAGATTTTGATGGAAGGAACAGACGCTCAGCTCCCTTTCCTTGGATCAACATATATTGAGTAGAATCCAGGCAGCGCCGTGGCCAGGTGTGTCACGTCGTCTCCAGTGGCCGCCTGGTCAACCACCACTTCCGTATTACTGTTTAGCATGCTTCGACCACTTTCTGGCCCTGGGAATTTACCTTTGTGTGTGTGTGTGTGTGTGTGTGTGTGTGTGTGTGTGTGTGTGGGGTGTGTGTGTGTGGTGAGTGTGTGTGTGTGTGTGTGTGTGTTTTGTGTGGGGTTTTGTGTGTGTGTGGGGTGTGTGTGTGTACGTGTGTGTACGTGTTGTACGTGTGGTGTGTGTGTACGTGTGTGTGTGTGGGGTGTGTGTGTGTGTGGGGTGTGTGTGTGTGTGAACGTGTGGGGTTTGTTACTGTGTGTTGTGTGTGTGTGTGTACTCACCAATTGTGGTTGCAGGGGTCGAGACTCAGCTCCTGGCCCTGCCTCTTCACTGATCGCTACTAGGTCGTCTCCCTCTCGGCTTCCTGAGCTTTGTCATACCTCTTCTTAAAACTATGTATGGTTCCTGCCTCCACTACTTCACTTGCTAGGCTATTCCACTTCCTGACGACTCTATAACTGTGTGTGTGTGTGTGTGTGTGTGTGTGTGTACATGTGTGTGTACGTGAGTGTGTGTCTGTGTGTGAAGGTTAATGGTTCGATCCCTGGCATGGGTAGAAACATTGGCCATGTTTACTTAAACCTGCTGTCTCTTTACCTAGCTGCGAGTGATACTCGACTGTTGTGGGTCGCATCCTGGGGGGGGTTGTTCCCCTTAGATATGTCTGGGCTTTTTAATGAGCTAAGATCGGATAACAGCTCTTGCCCTGCAAATTCAACATCGTAAAAGAAATCCTTTCTTAATAATATTAACACAATGAAAGCAATGATGTGGAGATTTCAACTCCTGGAAGTAACTATCTCATATTAATCTCATTTTTCTCGTCAGGTTGAGAGAGAGTGAGTCAGCTCCAGTATCGTCACAAATGAATATTAAACTTGTGAGTAAAACTTTCCCACGTACATGTTGTCTTACGCAAAACAAAGACACAAAGGCAGAATGGATACTTTAGTAAGACAACGTTTCACTTGGACACAAGATTTTTCAAGTTTATTGAGAAAGCATTGATAAGGTGGGAATATACAGGCTGAGCGAGGATAGATAAATTACATACCTGTGCAACACCTGGGTAGCTTTGTTATCTTGTCGGTTCTCTGAACCATGAATGGTAGAAGACAATGTAAACAAGTGAACAGGTCAAACGAGAAGGTAGCCGAGATAGGTTTCCATCATCCCTATTCGTGGTTGCAGTGGTCGAGTCACAGCTCCCTGCATGTGTATAACTGTGTCCATCGTATAGATTAAAGTTAATGAATTAGATACATGTGCAACGTCTAGGTATCTTCACTAGGTAGACGGTCTCGTCATCCAGTGGCTTCATCGATACAATACAATGATAAAGTGAAGACTGTAGAAGATAGTGTCAGTATTATACATCATTCATATACATTGATTAAAGTTGATACTAATGACCCCTGGTTTAATCTCTGGTCTTATTGTGTCCTTCCAATGTCTGAAGTTGGCTGTTTGTTAGTGGGTTTTAAAGCTTACCAACTACAATGACCCCTGGTTTAATCTCTGGTCTTATTGTGTACTTCCAATGTCTGAAGTTGGCTGTTTGTTAGTGGGTTTTAAAGCTTACCAACTACACTGAGGCCATTAAGACTGCACGTAATCTCTTCACCACCAGACAAGAATACTCTGACCCCTATCAGAGAGATTAAACTCTGAACATATATTCGCTGAGGGAAATACACGTTTCGGTTTATATATCCTGTGTCCAAACACAGCTTTTGGACCTTTAATTTGGAGCTGGTTCGTATTTTATACCTCATACGCCCATCACACTCACAGTTGAATATTAGTTGCTTGTAATGAACTGCTGATTCTTGAATAATTGACTCAGAGTTATTAATGTTTTTGCAAAATAGATGTCAATGCTGGTAGCGACCGCCTCACGCACCTTACATATCATTCTTTAATAGCTATAAACACAAAGATATAAAACAATGATTATAGTTCAATAATTAATAAACTTCCTATTTTCTATCCTCTCCAAAGATATATAAACTCTTAACTCAGTTCTTCAATATATAGAAAATATCCTCATATCACTGCCTATCTATCTCAAAATAGATACTTTTATGCATCATTCCAAACAATAGCACTTGGCTCCGGTAGGTATAAAACATCATGATTATCATACCCAGACGTAAGGACATTAAATAACTACGAGAGGAGGAAGTAGAAATCAAATTTGAATTTTATATATATGTATATGTCGTGCTGAATAGGCATAACTTGCGATCTTGGCTTAAATAGCAACGTTCATCTTGCCATATAGGACAAGTGAAAATTTGTGTATGCAATAATTTCTCCAAAATAATTCTGAACCTAACGAAAAAAATATATTTCACTGTGTTTGTTTAGTATTAAATTATTGTAAACATATCTAAAATATATAGTTGGGTTAGGCTAAAATAAATTGTTCTTGTTATAATAAGGTTAGGTAAGTTTTCTAAGATTCTTTTGGTGCAAAATTATTTTTTTTTACATTAACATTATTGAAAAAAAAATATATCTTTAAACGTATAAGAGAAAAAATTTTTGAAAGGACT